CTTGAATGTGTAAAGTTGTATTGTAGAAAGGAAGGTGCATACAATAATGTCCCTTAGTATGTGCTACTTGAGTCTAGAATAATCTTAATTTATTTGCTTCTCTTTCTGTGTTTAAAAAACAGCAACAGACTATAAAGGGCCCCATGATTATAGGGTTTTCCATGTAATTATTTTATTGGTCTTACTTTCAGGAAAAAAGGCTCTACATTTCTCACTTCCCTCCACTACTTGCTTCTCATGTAAATTAAATGCCATGTTAATCTCCTTTCATATTTACTGTGCTTAGAGTTTTGAAGTTTCAGCTCATCTGATTTTATAAAAGGTGACTTGGGCAGCTGGAATCTGTCTGGTCAGAAATCCCTGAAAGGCTTTTTGACATTTAAAGAAGCACAAGCATTAATCCTCCAACAGTATCAGACTGCACTGGTTCTACAAAGCTCCACTGACCATTGTGTGTGTGTGTGTGTGTGTGTGTGTGTGTGTGTGTGTGTATGTGTATGTCAGTATGTGTGTGCGTGCATGTGGAATGAGTAGATGAAAACATGAACTTTCTCTTTAAAGGGATTCCCATCTTTGTAATTTGCCTGTGGAGAAACAGAAAAATGCTGTTAGTGATTTTCAACTGATCGCAACTTTTATGTCCATATTTTGAGTCCTTAAGAGACCAGAAGGAGAGGAAGGGATATTTCCTTCCCTCCAATGCATATTCTCCTCACTCTTATGGTTTCTAAATGGAAAATATTTAAACCCTACTGAAATTCTGGGAGTTGCTATTATCTCTTGATGGGCATTTTCCCATGTTGAGTTTCAAGGTAATTAGAATTTTTCTCTGGTGCTGGTGGGTGGGATAGCAGTGATAAGAAGTTATTTTAGAAAACCATTTCACCTTCATCATTTATTGCCCCTATTTCAGTCTTTTACTTAAGAAGCAGCTCATGACATTCATATGTGTGTGTGTTTGTGTGTGTGTGTGTGTGTACATATGCATATAATTTTTTCTCAAAGGACAGTAAATAGATTTTTTCCTTAAGTCTAGCAATCATGTTTCTGCCACTTTGAAGGAGATGAAAAAGGAAAGCATTTCCAAGTTCCCAGCTAATCTGTAAAACTCAAGCAAATCTCTCATTCTTTTCTAACAGACTTATAAAGGACGAGAATCTGGGAAAAATGTGTGGAGGTTCTTTCGTTCACAGGGTACCCTATGTATGAACAAGAAGTACAGGGTCTGCGTATAAATTATGATCTGTTCAAGTGCTGGGAGAAGGAACTGATTTCTGTTTGTTAGAGGTCATCATTACTGTTCATTTCCACAGCAACCAGGAACTTGGTGATTTTGACAAAGAGTGTAAGGACCGTGGAGGGCTGAAGGGGAAGAAGAATGAAGGGAGTGTGTAAATCTTTGCTTGCTTTCATGATTCTTAGAAAAGAGCAACTTGCTCTGAGGTCTGATTTTTACAGCAGTCTTATTTCAGGATGACTGGATCATCACCTCTTTTGATTGGGGCAGAATGCAGGGTATTATTTTTGATTTTTGGAACATTAAAGTAACCGTAAACTTGTTTGGGGTCATTATAGACTTCATTACAGCGGTGTTATATAGCAAAGCTGCAGTGCTTGGAGATGAGGTCTTAGGACTGGCAGGCTCTTGCTTGCTGTTAGAAATCATGGATTTTTTTTATCCAGTCTATCATTAATGGGCATCTGGGTTGGTTCTAAGTCTTTGCTATCACGAATAGTGCTGTAATAAACATATGTGTGTATTTGTTTCTATAGTAGAATGATTTATAATCCTTTGGGTATATACCCAGTAATGGGATTGCTGGGTCAAATGGTATTTCTGGTTCTAGATCCTTGAGGAATTGCCACACAGTCTTTCACAATGGTTGAACTAATTTACACTCCCACCAGCAGTGTAAAAGTATTCCTATTTCTCAACATCCTCTCCAGTATCTGTTGTTTACTGAGTTTTTAATGATTGCCATTCTCGCTGACATTACATGGTATCTCATTGTGGTTTTGATTTGCATTTCTCTAATGACCAGTGATGATGAACTTTTAAATGTGGCACATATACACCATGGAATACTATGCAGCCATACAAAGGATGAGTTCATGTCCTTTACAGGGACATGGATGAAGCTGGAAACCATCATTCACAGCAAATTAACACAGGAACAGAAAACCAAACACTGCATGTTCTCACTCATAAGTGGGAGTGGAACAATGAGAACATATTAGCACAGGAGGGGAACATCACACACTGGGGCCTGTTGGCAAGTGTGGAGGTAGGGGAGGGATAGCATTAGGGGAAATACCTAATGTAGATGACGGGTTGATGGGTGCAGTAAACCATCATGGCACATGTAAACCTATGTAACAAACCTGCACCTCCTGCACATGTATCCCAGATCTCTCTCTCTCTCTCTCTCTCTCTCTATATATATATGTTCATGAAAGAAATCATGAATTTGACTGTAGTTGTCCTTTCCTTCCTTCCAGTGAAATGACTACAGGATTCTAGGCCCTCCCTCACTGTATGTGCTTGTGTGAAAATCTCCTTTGATCTGTTAAAAGTTTCAGTAACTTAAGGTTCTCTCTACCTCACAGTGTTGATGGCCAACAGCTAATTGTGCCTTTAATCGCTTAGAAAGTAAGACGGAATGTTAAGTCTTTGGGAACCTGACTGTAATTACAGGGAGAATTAAACAAGAGAAACATCAATTGACTTAGGAAATGAACATGGCTTTGAGTATTTCTGTTAAATGTCATCTTACTCTAGTCAACAAAATTATGAGCCATGCCATAGCTCAACAATTATAATCATGGTCTCTCTGATACTACAATTATGTAAAAGCTGTAAGAAAAGTAAGCTCCCTGGGCTGAAATATAATGGCAGAGTTACTAGTTACATAATATTAATGGATCTTAAAAACGCAGTGTGCTATTCTAAAATACGTTTTCCTGGAATATTTTCTGATTTTTTTCGCTGGGTATATGTACATATACACATACATACATACAAGAATAAAAATAGACATCTTTTAGTACAAAGATTTTGGTTTTGAGAGTTTATCTCTTCTTTCAGTTGAAATTTCTACTCAGCTTAATGACCCATAGTTGTAGTTTTACTTTTGAGAAATTGCTAAAGTGAGCTTGAGGAAGAGGCTGAGCTGCCTATCAGAACAGAAGTTATTACTACATTGTTTTGGAATATATTAGGATTTTAAAAAATGCCTGCCTTAGCACAAAAATCACGGTGACTGATTCAAAACAATTTTTTTGTTTGAAGCCATCCGTGAGGAAATATTCTGGAGGAGTAATGCCAAGCCAGATCTGACCCATAAATTCTCACTGACTGTTGTATGTTTGTGTGAATGTGGAGTGAGGTGATAAAAATATGCTATCTCCTACAGGGTAACTATCAACAATACAAGTTAAGTGATCATTATAGTAATTCTAGATTTTCTTACCAATTTGGCTTAACTGTAGTTTCAAGACACTTTTTAGTTCCAAAGAGATGTACCAAATTTAGGGTATAATGGGTAACATGATCAAATAAAGAGGAGCGACTCAAAACCTGTGAGGAGATTTTTCTGAGAACACACCGCTCTGATAACTCAAGGCAGGCACCTCCTCTGTATACCATTTGTGGATACAGTTGGCACCATCTTTATGTTTATTGGAAGGAATGTCAATAATGTCAGTTTCATGTTTCGTAACTCAGTCTGTAGTCTCAGACTCTCTAAATAACACACAGAGGCATGACTGCTATGTGTTTTCAACCAAATAAGACATTTAGAAAAATGTTTGCCAAAGAAAGTATCTCTTCTCCTCTTGGCAGGCCATTGATGACAACATGTCCCTTGATGAGATTGAGAAGCTCACATACATTGACAAGTGGTTTTTGTATAAGATGCGTGACATTTTAAACATGGAAAAGACACTGAAAGGGCTCAACAGGTAAGGCAGTGTTGCTCTCATTCATGCCAGACACCTTCAGTGCAATTTTTGAAGAGTATTCTTCCTACTCTTAAGCATTTGGTCAACATTGTAATTCAAAGAGGTAGATAGTGCCAATGTTGGAAAATAGTACCTGCAGCCAGGAGACAAATGGCAGGTTTTTTTTTTTTTTTAGATGTTTATCTTTAGAAATGTATCCATTAATCTTTTTAATCATCTTCTATTCCCACCCTTGTCATCAGACATAGTAAGAAGGTCTCTTGAATGCACAAAATTGGTATACATTTATGAACGAGTATTATTTAATTATGAAATACTTTCTAGATTTAAATTTTATTAATCAATTAAATGAATATTTCTGTTTTCTAAAAATTTTCTTCTACATTCTGAAGTCTGTTTTTCCCTTTTAATATCAATCTATACATTGCTGTATATTGAGGAGAAAATGTATTCCTTTTGCGTTCTACTATTTTTAAATTAGGACATTCAGTTCAGCATACAAATAAGCCACATTCAGGTTTCTCTCAACAGACGCTTTACTTCTGACTAATTTACATTTTTACCTCCATCAGGGCCAATTATTTTTAAACTTCACTTTATGTTGAGAATATTTTGATAATGTAGGTGCCTTAAAATCTGCTTTTAAATTTTTCATGGGAAAACTGTTTGCTGGGGCACCTTAGGCTGATGAAATCATGGATCAGTTTTAAACATCTATCTTCAATAAGAGGAGCATTTATTAGCAGATTAAGAAAGACAATATAGTCCTCTTGAACTTCTTCCCTCTAAAAGCACTCTGAAATACACTACTATTGAAAAGCCATCTCACCTGCAAACTAGGGATGTGCTTAGAGAAGGAAAAATTTTGTTTGTATAAATATTGTTCTCAAATGATTTGACAAAATGTAGATACTTTAATCACTTTAAAATATCTTTGAGGACAGTGGAAGATCTCAAAACCTGGATTGCTCAACTATTCAGCAATTGCAACATATAATTGGGTTGCTGTATTTGCCTGATCAATATGTGGACAAACTGGGCAATAAAGCACTTGCTTTTCTTCTTGAGAAAAATTAGGTTCTTTTTCATCTATTTAATTATTGCCCATGTCAAATGCTTGGTTTTGAAAACTGAGGAATTCTACCTGACGAAGATGAAACTAGCTATTGTTGCTTGTAAATCATCCTTTCTAGTCATCACATAAAATGAACAGTAGATAGCACATAAGTTAGGAATTGAGCCTATACATTTATCTTATAATTTTGCTGACTTAAGTTTTCTTTCTTGGTTTATGATGCCAGCAGAACTTCTGTCTTGAATTATAGTCTCTTCTACTGTTCTCAGTTGCAAGCAACTGAGTTCAAATGCTTATGAAACCACTCCAGTTAAGCCACATGGGGGTGCTAGAAACTTACAGTATGCCAGTCACAGCAGTGGAAAAGACCTGGGGTGGAAAATAACAGATGTTATTGTGATTTAAATTTCCACTTGATATACGTTCTGATTTTTGGACAAATTCAATGTTTTAATTGAATAGTTTTCGTTACAACCAGAAGGCAGGTTGCGATTCTAACTAAGCATAAATAAGGGTATATTGATAGTGAAAAAGGTCCTTGGAGGATTAAAACAACACACTGTTACAGATCACTTACAATATTTTTCTGACTTCCACATTCTGTTGCAGATCACTTACAATATTTTTCTGACTTCCACATTCTGTTGCATTTATTTGCCTGCAATTTGACATTTTCAATCTTCATTTTTCTGGCATAAATATATTTGTAAATAGAGATATTTTCTATTGTTCATAATGATCTACATTTAAAACTCTATGAAAAGCTTTATATCATTTCAAAAATTAAAAAAAAACCATATACTTAAAACCATCTCTACTGTATAAATTTGTTTTTGATCCAGGGAGGTTGAAGTGTCTATTATATAGCAAAAGCTAAAGTAAACCTGGAGTGGACCTCACAGATGATCCGTGGCATTAGCAAACCTAAACCCTGAGCTCATTATCTGAGTGTCACTTTATGGTTTAATTCCTTTCTTTTTGAAGTGTCATTGATTCACACATAGCAATTTGATAATGATTGTTATTTAGTGGTATTAGATAAATAACAAGAATAGATGGCCACTAAAGCTACCTGTCTCAGTCATCTTGTGGCACATAGGGGTCTGAAGTTGAAAGGATATGACAGCTGATGGAATGTTAAGTATGTAGGTCTTGATTTCCTTGCCGTATTTTAATTATACTCACCATTAGTCCGGGTCATAAGTGCTCTGCTTTCTCTCAGCCCCTCAATATCCAGGGAGGCTTAGTCATCAAGGTATGTACTGCTCCAACAGTAATAAGAGCTCCCTATTAATGATCTACAGCTGACTTACATATTGCCAGTTTGGAGAAGGGCTGAGAAGATTAGTTGTTCTTTTTCATTGGTATTTATTTATGGTTTACTTTGAAGATCTCAACTGCTTCTGTGTTAGAATAGCTGTCTTTAGCTGTAGGCCTAGGAGCTAGCGATTTACTTGTTGTGTGTTGAGAGAACTCAAGAATTCTCCTGCCTCATCATCCATTTCTGGTGCCAATGTGCCGCGCTCCCTTTGTACTTTTCATATAGATCCTTGGGAAGACAGGCAGTGGGCATCTCACTTGGGAAAAGAGAAGTAACTTAAGAGAAAAGTAAGAATGCTAGACGTGGGTTTTCTGGTTCCATCCTTGTGCACTGGAAGGAGCAGACTACAGAACCAGAGAGATTGGTGCGCAGTCCTCCCCACTATAGAATCAGAAGTACATTACCTCTTTCATGTCTCCAGCTTCATGTTCTTTCTCTTAATCTCTGCTTCTAGTTTTTTTTTGTTAAGCTTAATTTATATAAGTATAAATGACATCTGACATATTGTGAGGGCCCAAGAAAATTTTTCTTTTCCCCTGAAAATAAAAAGTACTATTTGTTATAATAAAGGTAACTTTATGATTTTAGATATGTATTATGTATTATGATTTTAGATATGTAGATATGATAGATATTTAAAGATTCATTTTCAGACTCACAATTTTCATTTGCTTATATATTTTGCAATGTATCATTTCTTAATTTCCTTTATGATGCATCACTTATTTTAATATCAGACCTATTTTTTAAAGGAAGCAATTAATGATAGCTACTGATGCAAATGCTATTCTTATCAAAAGATAAATAGCACTCCTTTATGCTAATGAATAAAAATTCCTACTCTACAGTTGTTAATCAAGCTCAAATTCTAAAGTCTGATAAACACATTTAGTAGCAGAGGATGAGCATATTGCTAAATTGATGGTCAGTCTCTGACTTGTGTTTACATATAGTCATCTGAAATGAAGTTCAGAATTTGAGTCCAAAATAGAATATACCCACACATGGACATAGGGAGGGGAACATCACACACCGGGGCCTGTCGGGGGTTGGGGGGCTAGGGGAGGGATAGCATTAGGAGAAATACCTAATGTAGATGACGGGTTGATGGGTGCAGCAAACCACCATGTCACGTGTATACCTATGTAACAAGCCTGCACGTTCTGTACATGTATCCCAAAACTTAAAATATAATAATATAAAAAAAGAAATATAAAAACAAGAACATAGGTTTTTATGTTTGAAATGTAAACAATAAATGTACTTATTTAAGCAGTAACTTCAAACAATATATTTTAAAATAAAATACAAGGGAAAATAGTAAAAATGAATATACTCACATATTTAGTATATATAAATATTCACAGATTGAGATGGGGAAAGCAAAAGAATGATTGTAACTAGGTAGGCATCATGGAAATAACTGATGAGTTTTCTATGCCTGTGAGATAGTAGAAATCACAATGAGAAATCCCCTCCTTGAAGGGGAGAGATAAACATGATTCATGCTGCTGATGATGTGTGAAGTCTCATCTTTCTGCAGCGTGATGAGACAAGAGGGATAGGTATATTAGGCCATTCTTGCATTGCTATAAAGAAATACCTGAGACTGGGTAGTTTATGAAGAGGTTTAATCAGCTCACGGTTCTGTAAACTTTACAGGAAGCGTGGTGCTAGCATCTGCTTGGCTTCTAGGGAGGCCTCAGAAATCTTCCATTCATCGTGGAAGGCAAAAGGAAAGCAGCTGTGTCCTATGGAAAAAGCAGGAGCCAGCCAGACAGAGAGAGTCGGTGGGGGAGATGCCACATACTTTTATATAACCAGATTATGCAAGAATTCACTCACTATTGCCAGGAGAGCACCAAGGGGATGGTGCTAAATCATTCATGAGAAATCTGCTCCCATAATCCAGTCACCTCCCACCAGTCCCCATCTCCAACACTGGGGATTAAATATCAATCTGAGATTTGGGGCGGGGACAAACATAAAATCTATAACAGGTATCAGAATAATCAACTCAGCATCCTAGCTTTGAGCGCTGGCCCCCTCAGAACTCAGTATGCTGTCTTTAATACCCGAATATAGTAGCAATGGCAACCCTCGCAAGACTTCTGAAGCAATATCTATTCTTACCAGCTTAGGTAATAACCATTATTTAGACAGCTTTAGCCAAAAAAAAATCTCTTTCCAACTTACGCTCACTGACTTTCTCCTTTTCCACTTAAACTGCTTATTGCTACCCAAGGGTATGCTAGGGAAGCTGACTGTTGTAGGCAGTTCCCCAGATTTATAGGCTGGTGTAGTAGCATTCACTGACCTAGGGTGATAACATATTTACAGTGGATTTCTTTAGGATTTGAGAAGTTTCTTTTTACTCAATGTGATATAAGTTGTATCATGTAGGATTCGAATACTTGTTATGTGTATGCTTTGGAATTTAGATGTTTAATGGTCACCAAAGGTCTTTTAACTTCACATTGTCAGATCACCCTGCAAGGAGTTTGAGGAAAGTTAAGTCTATATAAATTTTTAGTGGAACCACAACATGTGCATAATCTCTGTCCATTAACCTTCACTGTTAAGCTACTCAGATTTTAGTCTAATTTTCCCATACTCACTCTCCCACTGCCAACTCTTTCACTCATTGTGCCCTTCCCATGTAGCATTTTAATAAATACTAAAAGAAAAATATCTTTGATCGGTTAGAAATTATAAAAATCTCACCTCTAGTTCTTTTTTTCCATTAGTGCATAGATTCAGTTTTGGTCATATAAAGATCTCCTGCCTGGAGAGAGGAAGTGCAGCTATGATAAATCAAATAAAGATGTCAAATGTCTTCACCAACTAGGTTCTTCTAATATAGCTAATTCCCTACTGTAACCAAATAATGAATTTATAACTCTTAATACTGAAACTTGAATTTTGATTTAATAATTCTGAATGCCTTCCAAGTAAAGATAATAATCACCAAATTTTTGGACTACATATTAAACACTGTTCTAAGCACATTAGTTTGTTTAATTCCTAACACAACATTAAGAAATCCGTGATCATCCTAATTTTATTGATAGTAAACTGAGGCACTGAGAGATTCAGCAGTTTCCTCTACATCACGTACTAATAAGTGTCAGAATTGGGATCAAGCCTAGGCAGGACTCCAGAGCCCAGGATACTTACTATTTAACTCCTTGTATTTGATATCTAAGTACATACTTATATACTTCTCACTTTTTTTATTAAAAAGGAAACATTGTTTTTATGTACAATGTTGCTATTTATGTGAGCAATGTTGTAGATGATGCTTAAAAAGAATACTTACTTACATGTAAGTATATACTTACATATCAAATACAATGTATTTGTATTTCTATATACGATAGATGACTGCTTAAAAATAATACTTATATATGTATATGCTTATATACTTACATATGAAATATATGGTATGTAAAAATGCATGTAAATATATTAAATACATGTAAACGTAAGCATATATATACACACAGGAACAGGTTTGCTTAGGGGTATAGAAACAGATTTGTTTCTAAAAAACAGATTTGTTTAGGGGTGTAGATGACATCTAGAGGAAATAAGAAATAAGACAACCTAAAACAGACACCTTCAGTATAGAAACAGTAGCCAATAAAGGGGTAATAGTCCTATCATGGTAGAACCAGCATATATAATGAAGGTTTCTACTATATTATTAATAAATAAGCACAGGTACAAACATCCTTCCGTTGGACCCCTCTTGCTATAAGTATGTAAGGAATTCAACTATAATAGAGCTTGTGAGAAAGAACTATTTCAGGACTTTACACCCCAAAATTATTATTTATAATACCAATCTGGATTGGCAATTTTATATTGAAAGACAATCATGATACTTTTAAAAAAAAGACACATGAACAGACAAGAAAAAAAAAGTGAGAGTACTAATTACCAGCTTTAAGCATCTGCTTCTCCCTCTGGCTGCAACTCTTTTTAAATTTTTTATTTCTTTATTTTTTTCGGGGGGGTTCTTTAGCTATTTCTGACTGACATATCCAGCTTGGGGATTTTATTATACCTGCCTAAATTGTATAATTTTGTTCTTTTACTGGTTAAAACTAAGCTGAATTAAGTTTTGAATCCTTGCTTCAAGTGATGAGCTTAAAGAAGACGGCCAGCCTCTGCTTGTGCTATATACTATGTTAAATTATCAAAGTGAAGGTTTTCCACCATTTATGATGATTGTTTGTCCTTGTGCATTCCATTCATTTTGGGCAATTTTCCTGGAATGGTCCATTTTGCTCTCTTGTTTTTATGTACAATGCTGCTATTTATGTTAGCAATGTTGTAGATGACTACTTGAAAAACATCTATTTTCATTCATTTCACATGTTCAAAAGTAGGAGATATAACCATTGTGATACAATTTATACCATATAAGTATTGGAAGCTAAGATTTGTATTTGTTTCCCTATTGTTGACATAAACTTTACTATGGATTTATTTACAAATTATCCAGATATTGCTTTTGTGTAATATTCCATAGGTTTCATTTTTTTTTTTTTTGCTATCCTCACTCTAATAACTTTAGTATTCTCTTTCCTCTTTACCGCTTATAGTCAATGTAGTTAAAGAAAAAAGAGTAAAGTGCACTTTTGAAGGGTCCTATTTCCATCCGAAATCACTACGTTCAGTGTGATAAACTATGTCCATTGGTGAGTGGTGAAAAATCATAGGTGTGCCTATTGCTTAGGAAAACAATCTAGGACAACCCTGGTGAGTTCCACTTGGGCATTCAAGTGCTAAATTGAGCTCAGTAAAGTTGGCCATTTCCCTGCAGCCACAAACTTCTGGCAGATATAATAATGCAGGTGTCACCTTAGCTGGAACACTCCCTTTGAATGTCCTCTCCTACACATGCTAGCTTCTATTGACTTTTTATTTAACTTGCTCACGAGGCATGGCAAAAATCGGGCAAGAACGTTTTGTGCTTATGCTTGATTGAAGCTTCTGGGGGAGAAGTGTCACCTAAGAGTTGTTAGAACTTAGATATAAGGAACAGAAGGGTCAGCACTTTCTGATGACAATGTATATTTTCTGGTAGAAAAAAAAATCAACAATTTTCATCTTAAACTACTAAATATACAAGTAATTTAAAGAAAGATAATATAACATATAATTACATTATAATGTTTGTGGTACTTTACTGTGACCTATTTTTGTGGTAGCATCTATTATTTTGGATATAGAAATGAGAATGGAGATGATTGAACACTTTAATGGAACCCATTAATTTGACTTGCAGAAAATGGTCTTATGTCTTCTCATGTTACTACTAACTCATACGATAGTCTAAGCCTCAGTTTCACCCTAGTAAAAACAAAACAAAAGGAAACAACAAAAACTCCCTTCTTATTTTACTGGTCAGTCATGCAGCTAGCTGAATATATACTATATGTAAAGTAATAAACTTTAAAGAAAAACAATCTTACCAGTTACTACATATTACCATTCTATGCTTTCAGTCTTCATACTGCAAGCCATTTATATAATAAACCTCTTCAGGAATGCTAAAAATTGGGGCGTACATATACAAGTACTTATTTATTTGTAAGAGAAGAGCATTACCATGGGAAATTTTATAACTCTGTGAACTAATGCCAAAAATACATTTTATTTTTAATTTGCTTTTATGTTCCATGTAATAAAAGGATATTTTAGGTGATGTCATAGGTTTGATAGGACTCCATTAATTTTTAAAGTAATAATTTATTGAGATAGATAAAACATTTTACCTCAAATATTTAATGTTCTGAGAGTCTTCATTTGTTATTTAAATAGTGTTTTCATAGTTTTGGCAAATAATTGTGCATTTTTGAATGTGTGAGAGAGTACTTACGAGTCTGGCATGGACAAGATGAATGTTTTGCTTAAAAGGTTTTCAGAGTAATATTCAGATGACTCATAAAGTGCCTATTATGTTTCTGTATATT